ATACTAGTGAAAGGCGCTTTTGACCAATCTAGTTCGGTGCGGCTAAACAGTGCACAACAATGGCTTGTTCTCAATCACAATAGTCTTGATACCAACGAATGTGACTTGCATTGCATACTGCGGAACTATCTGCTACCCATCTAGTCCCTCGGTATATATAGCCCTCGGGACCCTGAGATGATCATCCTGATCTGGCCCTGATCCGCCTGCACCAACAGACCCTTACCCTAACGTACCAGTGTGAGAGTCTGGGCGTGACAGAACTTTTCATTATCCTATGATTTCTCCACCCTCCACGTAGTGGAGGGTGTGGTAAACATCGACGCCTCACACAGCTAACACCCTCAAGTAAACAGCGCAGCCGCAGCAGGTCTTGAACAGTCAACTGATCACTTGCGACTTCGACCCCAATGTTTTCAAGAACGTCAACCAACATCAAGATTACTAGAATGTATGTCGAAGGATGTAGGTACTGTCAGCAGATCTCTTTCCTGAACTTCTGTCAAGTCACCAGCAAACTGCCCAAGAAAAGCTCCCATCTTCACTCTTGAGCAAAAACCCGATATTTTTCCACGCCCACGTTCCCGCCTATTCACATACAAAACAACACTGCGGCAGAGAGAAGTTTCTTACCCAGAGGATATCTCATCTATCAAGAACTGCCCTTCAAAGACTCATTTACTGCTATCGGCAGGTGAACAGTCTCAGTCATCACAGTCAGGAGAAAACAAATGACAAGAACATCAATCCATTCCCATCTAATCTACGCCCCTTTCTCTCTCTTCCCTTTTCCCACCACCATCAAGATGAAATTCACTGACAAGTTCATTGTCTTGTGTTACATTATCATACCAGTACAAGCAAGGGTCAAAATGCCTGCTGCTCCTAACTGCAATAATGACCTAAATAACCAGCAACATACACCTCCAACTGTGATAATGCGAATACCTTAAACCTAACATCGTGATGGTGGTGTACAGGGAACCAGAGGAGACTAGAATGTGAGGAAAAGAGCCTGCAGTAGGATAAACCCAAGGGCCGCTGACAGAATCACAAGAGACGGGCCATCCTGCGCCGCTTTTGCTGCCGTAACTTGGGCTGGACCAGCACCCCAGATCGACGGTGGGATCGCGGGAATCGGCGCAACTGCACCATCACTGTCTGCTGGAGAATTGCTGCCGTTGGCTGTGGCTGCGCTTGCACTGTCTGGTGGGTCGCCATATGCGCCCGCTGCCCCTGATTGTTGGAAATGGGGAGCAGCAGTGATTGCTGTGTAGAAAGACGTTGTAGCCTCGTCTGCGACTTGTTGCTGCAAACCTGCGCCCTTGGCTCCATAGTATGCAACCGTGTTTGGAGGAGCGTACGCTGGAGGATCAAACGAAACAGCCGCCAATGGAACAGGAGCTGGGGAGGGTGGAGGAGGTGGTGCAGCGACTGTTTGAGTGATTGTCACATAGACTGGTGGTGGTGGAGGGGGAGGAGGAGGTGCAGGTGCGGCTTGGGCTGCATATTGTGAACCGTCGTCTCCGTTCCCATTTCCGGCTCCGGCTGAACAGCTTGTTGGAGCAATGGCCATTGGACTTGGGGTGCCCAAGATGAAGACTGTCTCGACCAGCGGGCCTTGCAAAGCAGGCTGAGAAGGTTGACATGCCCCATTGCCGTTCCCGTTACCGTTGCCATTGCCTGCTGGACATGGTGGTGATCCGCCCACGCCGCTACCACTTCCGGCACCAAAGTCATATGACCCAGCACCGCTGCCGCCGGCATTCGCACCTTGATAACCACCGTACGCATAGGAACCAGTACCTGAGCCCGAGCCGGCACCTGCTTGGGGAACAGTGACAGTCTGTGTCATGGTAACGACCCGAGGGGGAGAAGCACTGCCATCGGTGTTGCCATCATCGTAGTGAAGGTTGATGTTGAGGCCGATGAGGGGGTGGTGACCGTCTGGATTCTCTGAGAATGTATTTGGCGAAAGTATCCTTGTTTCAGGAACCAAACTGCCTTGTCCTCCAGACCCAACGTCACCAACATGGCCCATGTGCCGAGCGGCTTCGAGTTGCATTGGCGAATGGTGATTGATGATGTCGTTGGTGTCTGTTTCGTCGCTAGCTACAATGTCTTGAACCGTATTGACAGCCGAGGATGTGATGCAATTCCCCGTGACGGTTTTCAGAGCGGGTGAATATTCCACAGCGTTGCAGTTAATGAAGACGCAGTGAAAAAGATTCTGCGTCAGACATTGTCAGTGGGTGAGGTGAAGTGAGCCTGGGCATCTCAGTAAAGGTTACCTGTAGATCCTGCTTTCGCTGGCAGATACAGCGGATGTCGGCACAGTTCGTGCTTTGAAGGAGTGGTTGTAGACAAATCTGGGCACAGGGAGGCAGCGATTCTTTGTTTTGTCGGGCCGATGAGATAGATGAGAATAGCGTAATGCTCCAGAGCACCGTGGATTTCATATTGAAGGCGAGAAACTTGTCGGTGATTCGAAGAGCTGCAAGCAAAGATATGATCTCCAAAAGGAGGTGTCAAACGACCGACGAGACAGAATTTGGGTACCTAATCCAAGAAAAGAACGACGTTCAAAAACACAGAGCGATTGTTGATGATGGAAATGTGATGGGAAGAGAGAAGAGGGAGACAGGACCCAAAGCTGAAATACTGGAAATCCTGGGCACTGGCACCGGCACCAAGAATATGGACGGCAGGAGCATGACATGCCAGAGCCTGCGATGTTGTGCCAGTAGCCGATCGAGGCAGGCACAACAACAACATGGTCTGTTTCCCAGAATGACAATCCAATGGTGGTCCCGGTGGCGGGGCAGGAGGTTCTTTCCAGTCTGGATTGCCGAAGGACATCGTGCAACAGCTATCAGACGTACAAGTCACAAGAATAAGAACCGCAGTCATGGATGGTGGGAATTAGTGCGGAAACTGTGAACTTGGCCAGCGCTTGGATATCTACCAACAGACAAAGTAATAAACTCAAACTCCTCCGAGCTTAGTAAAAGATGAGATCGATCGGGTGGTTGGGATCCGTATACTTGTCCTTGAGCTCCTTCCTCGATAGAAGCCTCACAAGCGGCATCAAAGTCTCCCTCATGTCCACAATCCCCCGCTTCTTCTGGTCAATATGTGAAGCATCAACAATTATCCTTTTGAGATGCGAAGTAGCGAGCGCCCCTTTTGCACAGTCAGCATAAGAATGTAAGAGTTGCTGGAAGAATACCTACCATTCTCGATGAGATCAACCAGGCGCTGAGGCGTGCCAACCGCCATGCCACTGCGGTTCTTTTGGAGAAAGGCGACCTGTTCTTCTACCTTGAAATGCTTGGCAAACTGGTGATAATCAGCCAACGTCATTGACTGAGAGTAGATATGGCTTCTTACCAGCTTGGCGACTGTGTTGCCCTTCTTTTGAAACGTCCTGAGTGCTCTGTGATTTGGTCAATTTAGTAGCTATCTCGAGACAACAACTAAACTCGTACATACCTGACAGTATCAGCGGCTCGGAGACCGGCAGCCGAGACAACTAGTGTATGCGGCGCACCACACGTCTTGGATGCATTGTTGAGCTTCTCGGGCTCAGCTGAAAACTTCTCCAGGAAATCTGGTAGGTTTTCGAGATTTCTCGGCTTCTCATACGAAGTGGTGTCTTTGATGGCGTTGGCTACATCATGGAGTTAGCCTTGTCCTGCAAGCCCCGTAAGTCGAAGTGCCACTCACCCGAAATGTAAAGATCTGAGAGCTCAATGGGACTGAGCTCTGTGCCAAAACGAGACGTCTTTTGAGCAACGTGATCAGCCAGGAGCTGGCCGTCCATCCGAGCAAACGCCTTGTTCAGACCAGCCTCGACATCCAGGTCGGCCTCATCCTCACGCTGCTTCTTCTGTTTCTTCTTTGCCTTCTTGACGAGTACACCCTCGTCGTCGATCTTCCTCTTCTTGCTCTGTACCTCGGGCGCCATTTAGAAGTTTTCGGTGTCGGTGTTGATGAACCCGCTTATAAGAGAACTCGAGCTTGAGAATGAGACCCGAGAAGTGCGTTATTGCTATGCAATCGATAGATTGACCCTATGTTTTGAGTCTAGTCGACAAAAACAGGAGGTTTCAAATTAGGTAAATAAACGTCGCCCAGATGATGAAGCGATCTGTTTCTGTTGCGGTGAATGAAAATGTTTCGAGTGACCTTCAAAGAATCAAGCTTGGCAGAGTCGAGGGCGGATGGAATTTTTTTGGGAATAGTGGACAGTGTGCGCAGGAGATGTATGGTTCTGGCACTGTATTTCTCAGTGTCTGCCGGCAACTGGGTGCCAAATCAGAACGGCCAGGCCCCCGAAACTCACAGTGCGAATTGTCTCACGCCGTCCAATAGGCTTCAGCTCCCAAAACAACCTCGAGTTCAGTCATGAAGCTCCTCTTATCATCTCCTTGGTCTTGTTTTCCACGTCATCCACTACCTTTCAGAGTTATTCGCTCTTCGAATCATGCATCAAACTGCCTCAGAATGATAGCCAGCGTGTTCTAAAATAACACGGCAAGCGTTCTCAGGTGTTGCCCAGCGGGTGGTGAGGGTCCATGTTGCTCCTGCTTCTGAGTTCAGACTCTTGGGGCGGAAAGATTTTCTCGGGCGACTTTGAGCCCTTCCTTCTACCTTTTGACACAAAACCAGGTAGGCCCCAGATTGACATTGCTGGCAGAGTTCCTCATTTTGTAAACTTTCTCACATGTATCGGAGCATATGTCTGTCTGTTCGTGATACCCTTCGGGATCTCGATCCTCTGTTCATTACCACTCATCGATGTTTAGTTGCCTCCGAAGATCAAGAGGATGTGGTTACGACAGGAAGGATAGGGATTTGCCAAGTTGACGGTGGCACTTGTCCAAAACCCGACGGCCTGGATCTAGTGGGCAGTGAGAAGACGCCATCGTCCCAAAAAGCACTCTTGCATTCATCCAGTTTGTCATAGCTCCGAGTGGCGGTGCTACAATCCCGATTGTTTTCCATTGAGCCCGAGGCTTCAGCATATCCTGTACGTCGTCACCTCACCTGGTTGGCTTTGTTTCCCGCAAGCTCAGACAGTGGGTAGAGTGGCGCAGATATAAACATTCCCCATCACCGGACCAGTGCGAGCTCTGCATCCCTATCGAGTGACGAGGAGAAGATTCCCAAGAAGAGAAGCAACTGCCGACTTGAAAACACCGGTGCCAGAACGCTCGGATAGTCAGGATCTGCCTCTGAAAGCTCTGGCCATCCCGGCCCAAGCGGCAACCTGTCGTAAGCCACCTGTACATGGGAAGACACAAGGGAAAAAGCAATGAGGTTGCTAACCCTAGGCCCCGCCAAGTGGTGTATCCCAAAAGCTCGGGCCTTGAGCTATTGACTGGCATGGTCAGCGGATGACATCTTGGTCACTTGGAGATGTTGGCCAGTCGGAAAAAAATGCCAGTCGTTGGTTCGTGGAAGGCGAGGAAACAAACACGACAAAGATACGAGCTGCCGCGTAACCTGCAGTGGCCATTGGTTTTTCAACATCGAGTTTGTTCCTTTTTCCGTGAGGTCCAAACGTTGTGCTGAGAACACCGCAGGACAGCTGCTGCCAACCAAGGGCGGTCTCTAGCGAGGGGGTCCTGCGCAAGACGCATAGGTGATAGAATGTGCACCTAGGGCGCGCAGCCAAGGGGCTAGCGAGTGTAAGGGAGAACCCAGCTCCGAGACCAGGTCAGACCTGCTGTTTCGAGGGGGAAAAGAAAGTCGTTTCAAGCTGCTGGCCTGGCCGTTGGAGCTGGTCCGGATCGACATGGTACCAGGAGACCAGAATCAAGAGTCAGATCAGACAGAAACAATATGATCTGGTGTTTGTGCGTGCGGGGCCGGCCGCAGCCATCTTTGGGCCCTTGGGCGGCGAGATCAGCATCGAGAAACAAGGTGGAAGATCCATGAAAGACCTCAGACCACCTGCGTACCTGCAAAGTCCATGTCTGTTCCTGCATGCAACAAGCCCTGGCTCTGTTCGCTGGCTGTCACGGCGCATCGCCGACAAAGCAGCTGGCGTTGCGTTGCAGGAAGACGGCGAGGTGTTGTTGGTGGGATGCTGGTGGGCGGTGGGGGTTTAAATTCAGGTCGGTGATGGAATTGGTGGGACCCCTTGCCTTTTTGCTCACAGAGCCCCCCCTCTTTGGCCGGGGAAGCAGCATCATGCAGCTCTCTGATGGTCCCTTTTTGGTGCCAGTTGGTCCCCGTTCGCTAGCCTCGCCCGCATCTATCATCCATTCACCAGAGCCCATTCCGACGCTGGGGCATGCAAGTGTTATGAAAAATTCTGACAAAAAAATAAAATAACAAAGGCGATCCAAAGATCTCCGAGACACTGTCAGGACCGAGCCGCGGCCTGCCTGACTGATCTGCTGCGGTCCCGTCTTGTTCTGTTGATTTCTGCCGTGTCCCGGCATCCAGCATGTTCCATATATGTCATCCCGACTTTTTTATTCAGATGGCCACCGTCCTATCTTAACACTGCGTATGGAGTACACTTACCCGCCCTCGGAACCGTCCTGGTGGTCCGCTAGTAGATCCATCCAATATCCATCAGTCTAAAATAAAAGCTCGGGGTAGCTTTTTTGTACCTGTCCCAATATCCTGCCACATCGGCACCCTCTCTTGTCTAACCTCCACACACCGGTTGCTACTTCCCAGTCGTTCTCCTTCGTGCTCGCTGTAACGTTTATACCAACCGAGGTGCCCTCCCGGTCCCGTCTCTTGCGTGGCGTCATCGACACAGCAACTCCGGATTCGCTCCAAGAAGTGAGAGTTTGTTGGTGCCCGCCGCCCACCCTTGCGTCAGCATCAGCGTCAGAGAACCCGGGGTTAGCGAGGTACAAGAATCCCTGAAAACAGGGAGTCGTCCCTGCAGAAAACCGGAGAAAACCGGTGAAACCAAAAAATAAAGGTGGGCCTTTATCCCCCCGATTTATACCCCCCGAGCCAGCGGATCCAAAAAAAAAAAATCGCCCTAGGGACCACTCAATTACTGACGTTCCGTTGGCTGGTCAGGTTGGTCACCCCCCTGCTATAGGCGGAGAACATATTCCCAACGCTCGGGCCTGGATCTGCACGGAGTGCTTTGGTGCTTTGGGTGCGTTGCTATAAGGTGAGGTGGTCGGCCATCGGTTGAAAAGAAGGGGTCCATTTTACGGCCCGCTAAAGGTCCGACTGGAAGTTTTTCCCGCAGTCCGCGCGGTTTGTGCCCCTAAACCCCCGGCCTCGCAGCCCCCAAAATTTTCGGCCAAGCACCCCCAGAAAAGAAGCCCCCCCCCCCCCCCCCCTCCCTCAAGAAGGACCCGGCACCAAAGCACCCCCGATTACAAGCCGCGTGCTCGTCCTCGAGTCTTTTTTTTTCCCTAGGGGTCTTGCAAAGGAGAAAAAAACTGACAGCAAAATACCCGGTGACCGCAGGGAGAGAGAAATCGCATCACTTCCCTTCATCTCCCTTCCTTCTCGTTCGTTTCTTTTGCCATCTTTTTTCAGACCAGCCCGCGGGTCCGGTCGATTCTCGCTGCATGCAGCCGCACCTGGGGCTCCAGTCTGTGTCAATTCCGCCTGTTTGGCGTCCCGTGAGGAGTCGGAGCTGCGAGCTTCAGGTTTGACTTACTACATCATATCTCAACCTGGCATTTCGAAACAAATAAGGCAGCGCTGCAAAGGAAACGCGCGAGATCCCTACTCACCTAGCCAGGGTCTGTTTCCTTTCTTTCCTCTCAACACATCAACCACGACTGCTGGGGGATATCACTCAGTGTCGAATCTTTCACAACATACACAATGCCGTCGAGGTTTACCTATCAGCCCGTGTAAGTCATACATTCCAGTTTACGTGATTTTACTTTTTATGCCATCCACCATTTGTTTGGTATACTCCATCTACCAGATCAATGAGATGAATTTTCATACGTCTTCTCATATATGTCGAGAACGCCTCCTGAATCAGAGAAATCTACCCGCTCTTTCCCCCTTTGTTTTTCATCAGCTGCCCAAATCCCGACAAAACACGCTCTCGGGATTTTGGCGTTGTTTCTTGGTTTTTTTTTGGTTTTTTTTTTTAATTTTATTTGGGAAGGTTGGGGAACAACACATTTGCTAACACGTCGGGTGGTGTCCACCCTGATTGTTTAGTCGGGAATACCATGTGGTAGTTTTAGGTGCAGGTGGTGTCGGGAAGAGTTGCTTGACTGGTGTGTATGCCCCGTTTTTGCTTGTATAACCCTGGGTTCTTTTGGTGGTCACACATAACCCTGAATATGCCCCCTTTCACCTATTTACCCTGGAGTGAGGATTGACTGACGAGAACAGCCCAATTTGTCCACAATGAATGGATTGAGAGCTATGATCCGACAATCGAGGATTCATACAGGACGCAGGTGACTGTTGATGTGAGTCTCTTGCCATTCCTCTCCCAATGCATTTTACTGACGCATGGTTTCAAGGGACGGCAAGTAGTACTCGAGATGTAAGCACACCCACACAACGCTGGCTCTTCACCCGTCTAGACGCGTCTTGTTACACTATACTAACCACATCTTCTTCCCCTCCTCCCCAGCCTCGACACTGCAGGAACAGACCAATTCGTCGCTATGCGCGACCTGTTTCTCAAATCGGGGCAAGGGTTTCTTCTAGTCTTTAGCATCGCCTCCCGCAGCTCGTTTGATGAGCTCGCGACCTTGAGAGAAGAGATTCTCCGCATCAAAGACGACGACACGGTCCCGATTGTGATGGTGGGCAACAAGGCCGATTTGGAAGATCAGAGGGCGGTGGACAGGGCGAGGGCGTTTGGGGTTTCGAGGAGTTGGAACGCGCCGTATTATGAGAGCAGTGCCAGGACGAGGAGTAAGTTTTCTTGTTATTGGTTGTGTGTGATGTGGGTTGGTGGCTGATGAGAAGATGTAGCGAATGTGGACGAGGTGTTTATCGATCTTTGTCGGCAGCTGTGCAGGAGGGAAGACATGCTGGAGGAGCGGGCGAGGGATGACTTGGGGCAGAAGATGAGTGATGAGGCGGCGAAGAAGAGGAGGAGGAGGAGGAGGAGGAAGGAGAAGTGTGTAATTCTTTGAGAGGTGGGGGTCATGGATTGGGGGAAGGGACTACGAGGGTTTTGAAACATGTGGAATGAAGCTATGCTATGATTGGGGTTGGCGAGGTAGTTGGGCGGGCGGGATATTTATCTTAATTGTACTTGTGTGTTTATCATGAACGGGAATGGGGAGCGATACTCTTGGGGCCAGATGGGGAGGCGCGAGTCGTTTGAGTTTTCTGGAATCTTTTGCACAGTTTTATATGCTGGGGGAGTGAGTGTGGAGTGGTTTGGCATGGAACTTGATTCATGATGGGGGGAACGCAAGCACATTTCACAAACGCAAAAGACAAATGGGGGATATATACTCGGATTTAGCGCAAGCATAGGAGCAATGGGATTTTCTTTCTCGTTGTTGGTGTCTACTTCTTTCCCCTGGATAGCCAAACAACCACCTTTTACTAAACCATCTTGGTTGGCCAACAACTCCATTCCTAGCCATAACACCACCAGCCCATAACTTGATCGACAACCAGCCGATGTCGGCCAACGCATCGGACTCCCAAATATCACAATCACCTACACCTACATATATCACATTGCAGAACATCACCAGAGCTCTTTTCTCAGCCGCGGAACTTTCCGTCTGAGAACTGTAGCCAGCATAGGGGTGGTGCAGGCCATCTCGTAAAATTTGACAGGTCAGACGCATCTGATCAGACACTGCGCATCCAATTCTTTTGCAGGTCAGTACCCTAGCTAGGTATCTGCCAACTCCCGCGCTTACTGCGTGTAGAAGTAAGCGGCGCGGTACGGCGCGCACCCCGTGCTCGCTTGTCGGGGGCGGTAGTGAGGTGGCACAGCTATGTATTCAGCTCATGGGAAGGAGCCGTGGGGGTGGTGGACTGAGGATGAAATATTGAGATGTTGGGACGTTTGAGCGGCTATTATGGAGGGTTGATTGGAAGTGGCTTTCTTGAGGATGGGCGGAGAAGAGGTACATGGGAAAAAACTGCAGAGAACACATACCTAGTGTAAAGAGGCGCAAAGAAGAGATAAACGGCGGAGGGAAGAGGGTGCTGTGAGTGTGAGATAGGTAAGTCATTGTAGAAGCGCGGCTATTTTCTTGCGAGCGATTGGGCTGCTGGTTGACAGACGGTTGGTGGTCTCAAGAGTATCTGCTGTTGGATGGGTTCCAACATATTTCCCATCAACTGCAAACCTGAATGTGAGCAACTCTGCAGTTGATATGACCTCAATGCACTCTCCCGCAACAGCGCAACATGTTTCAGAGGGCACGGTTGCCCAATTGTGGTTTCTTTGAAGTCTCGCAAAATGGAAAAGGGGGACTATCAGTCAGACTGTGTGACGGCATGAACCTCTGTCTTGGGCCATGCGTCGCGACGTCACTTGAAACGCGGATGAGAGGCGGATGTTGTGCGAGGAAACCTGACTGGTTGGTTCGTCACAAGGAACGGAAACACCTCGAGATGTTTGACAGGACGGGCAGTCGTCATGGTACGAAAAAGAGGAATACCAATGGTACGGGTGTGGGTTGTGGTTGATCGCTCTCGAAGCACAGGAAAGGGCGGCAACATGGCACAAAGCAAGTGTAAGCTCGAGATGCGATTTGCTCTTTGTCTTTGCAAGACCTTGAATACTGCCACCAATCAGCAATGGATCCAACAGACTTTGAGAAAATGTGCGACGAAAAGCCCGGGCAGAATCCGATCAGCAAATCGGAGGCCGTGTGTTGGTCCGAATTCTCCGTCGTCTGATGTTGGATGTGACTGTAGGTACGGATAGATATAGTTCTGCTTGCGCAAAGAAAACCTCAAAGCCTGTTTGGGCGACTTGTTGGTGCCGATGCTGTCGGGTTTGCGAAACCCAGTTATAGAGTCAAGCATTGAGTTTGCGACAGCGCCACGCCGGCGGTCTCGGATCCGGCCCGTTGAGAATCGTGGGAGTCTTTGCGGCCGAAATCAGGCCACGGCAGAGCCCGTCATCCGTCGGGTTGACACCAAGGTGGGCAACGGCATCTGCCTTTGCTCATTGTTCATAATAAAGTTGGGGGGGTTTATGGCCACGGCCACAGCGACTTGATCGACCGCTTGGACCAGAACGTCATGTGGGTGATGGCGCTAGTGTTTAAGATTTAGCCTGACTCCACCTCCTTATCTACTCTGGAGTGGAGAGAAGCACCCCTGCAATTCTCACCGTGATCAGAAAGACCATGAAAGTGGAGAGATATTGATGCTTCTTGAACTGTTAGCAATATCCATCCTGGTGCCGCACTTGAGCTCTTGTCGAAACCGCCTTCTCTTGCTCGATATTGGGCGCGCCTCTACGGCACTGATCTGCAGTGCAAATGTCATGCATAAGCGTTTGCGCCGCAGAGGATGGGACACTTGCTTTCTTGAGCATTCTATAGGCTGGTGGTATTCTCAACCTTCTCTTCCATCAGCATTCTTTCCCACTGGATGGTCTACCGTAGCCAAAGTCTCTTCCATCGTCCTATTTCCGTCGTCACCGTCGTATATGGCAGCTTCGTATTGTCCAGGTAAAACAGACTTCTATGTAACCCTGGTCACGGACAATGCCACCCCGAAGCCTGCAGGGCTGCGGGCAACGTCAAAGCCCAGACCCATCCGCGTGTGCCTGCCCCCCTGTGTCTTGCGTGCTCCTGCCCCCGTGTCCGTCCCCTCGGAGCCATGATGCCCCTTGATCCCGATCACAGCCCACTGGGGAGCGTGTTTTCGTGTTTTCCTTCTCGAGTTTCGTTTCTGTCATCGTCGTTGTTGTTGTTGCTCCTGCTGTCGTGTTCATCCAAACTCTTGTCATTCTTTTGCATATCCCGTCACTCGTTCGCCGCCCGCGTGGCTCCGACGGCATTGCCGCTCCTTCGAACCCTCCTTTCGCAGCTATTCGCACTCTTGTCGCCGCTTGCCACATTCACGCTCCTGTTGGTTCCCGCCGGTGATCTGGAACCACTGCTCTGGACTGGCAAACTTCTCGGCAGGATATCCAGAAGAGCTCCAGCGGATCTCTCAGATCACCGGATTCACTGATCACTAGCTGGCCATCACTGCTGCTGCTCGCTGCACGCCTTGCACGACACCGTCTCTGCACTACGTTAGTCATCGCCTGGTTCTGCGAGGGACTGCAGCCAACGCTTGATTTTCTCTTGATCTTCATCTCTCAGACACCACTTCTGCTTGCTGGAGCTGGGTGCCGCCGCGAAGAGCTCTCTTGCTCTCCCGCAGATCTGAAACGGCAACCCCCGTCTCGGTCGTACGTGCACAATTTCATCCTGATCCCCTCCCATTACCGAGTCTGCCCAGTACCGACGTCCCACGCCTCTTTGGTGCAGTCTCCCGAATCCCCTGAGAAGGAAAAAAGGAACCCTCCAAGTTGTTGTCGTCCTCGCCGTTGCTTGTCTTTTCATCGGTTCCTCGCACTACAGCACAACGTGCGACTTGTACGACATTGCACCTGATTCGCCGGGTGGGAAGGATAGACACAACGTACGGTATACAACCGGGTCGCCCCAATACCGCGCAGTGTGAGGTGACAGGGTCGAAACACACAAAGGTACGTGATACCTCATCCCGTCACAGTTCCCCCCAGGGGTTCGTCGCTGGCTTGGCTTGGCTTGGCTTGGCTTGGCTTCGCGGTAGGTAGTAACCTCACACACACGCACACCTTTGCTCGGGCCAACCTGAACAGGCAAATCTGGCAAATGGGTTGAATACTATCGATCTGTTGTTACACTACCCGCCCCCGAATACCCTCGTTTTCTTTCTTTCCTTCTGTCTGTCCCGTTCTGCCCGCCAGGCCACCACGGCTAACCTCTGATTACCTGGCGTATAGACTGTCACGTCGTTTTAGTTGGCTTCGCGAGATCGAAGGCCACTGGTTTGTTGAAGATTAATTCTCTCGTTTTCCTGTTTGTTTGGGCCTGGTTCGTGTGACGGCGCACGCTGGGTTCGGTCCAATCTTTTTTTTCCATTCTCCTACGCTGGCATAGATTACGCTCGTTTGTCGCGGCTACACACGCGTCCGGTTCCACGACTCTGGGATTTGGGACTGGGGCACCCGACGTTTGCGATACCAGGTGTTTATGAGGTCCGAAGGTTGAGACAGACACGGTTTACTATTTACCATCAGCGGCAACTCGTGCCACCCGCCCTCCAGCAAACATTGGCAAACCGTTTCTTGTCGAAACCAAATCAGCAACAGCCTATGCTCGTGGAGTCGAAAGAAGGACCGGAAGGATTCGAAAAAGCCAGGGAAAGGAGGACTCGAAGGGAACGAACAGCCGGACTGGATGAGCCGAGGTGCAAGAGGGCTCTGAGCTAAATGAGTACGAAAGATGGGAGAGGTATGGACCGATCACCACCAGCTGGGTCAATTGCAAGGGCGAGGGAGCGTGCCGCTGCTGGGTTACCGAGGCAGGAAAGGTCGCCACCAAGGTCAAGGCGAGGGGCAGCTGATGAGGAACCGCAAATCTCAAGACCATCGAGACCACAAGCACCACCAGGACTACAGACGAAGGATGGGAATATCGGCGTGGCGATCTCCCGCCCGACACAGGTTCCACAATGGCCCCTGGCAGGCGGTCCTATTATAGCTCCCTCGAGTGCCAGCGGTGAACCGTATCGACCACCGCCGGGCAAGTCGCAGCCGCCGCAACGACCTCCGCGTCCGAGCCGAGTGCCCTCGATATTGGACGGCTCCAAGGTGCAGGATCCCACGCCGGTATTCCAGTATCGCCCGCGACCCGGAAGAGAACCCTCGGGCCAGGAGTTGCTACCCGTGCCAGAAACGCCGTCCTCGGTGTCCCGAGCATCAACACAATCTTCAATAGTGTCAATACCTGACTTCCCCATCCCAGCCCAGATTCCACCAGGACCACCGAGACGAAGCGTCAACCTCGGACCGCCGCCCTCTGCGCGACGTGGTGTTTCGTCTTTCTACTCCAATGTATCATATGTTTCACCTATTCCCGAAGAGAGCCCTCGCTCTCGATCACATACATCTTTTGCCTCGAGCGCTGCGATACCTGATGGCTGGGACACACCATCACCCGGACCCAGTCCTCAGTACCCGGAAGCCTTTTACGACGACACTATCCTGGAGGAGGCCGGTCCTTTTGGTGATGAGGAGGAGAGTCGGTTGGTACGAAACGCTAGTGTCGGAAAACGAGCGAAGCCAACTCTCGTGGGAACCGTAGTGGCTCCTGGCCCGCAACAGGAAGATCAAAACAGGAGGCCGGAGCCAAGGCCACTGCAAGGCGGGCCGTTTGACGAGGGTACAGGTTACGTGGACTATTCGAGTTCTTCCAGCACGATTCCAGCTTCAGCGAGGTTGCCTATCGGCGCGGCAGTCACTCGGGATTCTGTGATCAACGCCTTGTCCTCGGCAAGTGCGGATGATCCGTCGACCACACCGGCACAGCGAGAAGAAAAAACACCATCTCCACAAGAAACTCTAGAACCTAGACAATACAGCCGGCTGTCGGCCATTCGAAGACCGCCACGGTTGGATATGGATGCTGTACGAAAGGCCGAGGCGAGGGGGAGCTTGACGAGTTTGCCAGAATTGATCAGACGGGCGACGAAACTAGCTGCGAGTTTGGAAAAGGGCAAGAGGCCGGCGAGTCGGTTCGATGACCTGGACTATTCGGGTTCGGAGGGATATGGAGGTGAGGGCACATCTTGGCTCGATATATAAAGAACAGAAGCTAACACGCCATGAAGTTCGCAATGAGAAGCATCAATCCGGGCTCTCGGACATGCTCGCAGCCTTCCCACCACCCGCCCAACCAGGAGCAAGCAGCAGCCGTCGCAGTATCCGCAACAGCATACGAGACCATGTTCAGTCATGGCCATTGCCGATGAACACACGCTCCAACAACACATCTCGGGAAGCCAACGGCCCTGACAGCGACCCTGACAATCCGGACAAGAAGCAGAACCGCCGGTGCTGTGGGCTCCCTCTTTGGGGGTTTATCGTGGTAATGATTGTCATTCTGGTCATCATGGCCGCCGCTATCATTATCCCGATCGAGTTCTTCGTCATCCGCAGGCAAAACAACGGCAACGACGCCCAAGCCTCGATACAACAATGTCAAGAGCAGTTGAAATGCGCCAACGGGGGCACCAACGTCGTCAACGACGGAATTTGCTCCTGCATCTGCACCGGCGGCTTCACCGGCTTCGACTGCACCACCGCTCCATCACCAGGCTGCACCACCTTTACTCTCTCCAGCCCGGAGAACATGTCCAATGTTACCGTAGGGGACGCCATCCCACGACTTATCCAGCAAGCCCAGAGTAATTTTTCCATTCCGTTAGATGGGGAGCAGGTCATCGCCAAGCTTAACTCGGCCAACATGTCCTGCACAGCGACCAACGCCCTGGTGACCTTTGACGGCAGTGCCGTCCGCCAAAGCAGTGCGGCTGCTCTGGCGCAGGTTAATGATGTCAATGTCAACGCGGTGGTGGTCGATGGGGTGTTTTGGACTACGATTACAATTTTCGCAGGGCAGTCCACCACCATCACGATTGATGCTCAGAATCCCTTGGGGACTCCCACCGGCACCGTCCGGCAGGGGGGATCTACGGTGTTATCAACGGGGACGGGAACGTCAATAAGACCAACACTGACAGTCACACCAACTGTCACCCGGACGGTTACCACGACGATCCCGCTGAGTTCAGGGCAGACCACGGTGCCTACGCCGACGCCGACGCCGACGCCGGGGTTCAAGGTCACGGAGGATGTGCTGGATTTTGCGAGGGTGGTGGTGTTGTTTGTGCTGCAGGAGGAGAGCTTGAGGGGGGCGGAGGGGGTGCAGGTTGCGTTGCAGAATTTGTTTAGCAGGACTAGCCCGGTTGTGAGCGTGGAGGAGGCGAGGAACGTGACTGTTGGAGGGGGGTGGAGTGTGGATTTGGTGGACTGGAGGGTTGATCTTGGGAAAGGGGTGGTAGGGGGGACGCATGAGGATGGATAAGGGTGCGGGGTGGGGAATATTTTGGTTTCTATACTATAATGCCGGGAGCGATCTTTTTTTACTATTTGGGTGTTCAAGTTCAAAGGGGGAGGTGGCAGGGAATCAAGGCTAGGACCTTTATGTGAGGAGCGTGGTTACTTGATCGAGAGGAGTATCAGGGAGTTTGGGGAGAGGCGAGAAGACTGAAAAGCTGTTGTACAATACCAACCAACCTTGGAGAGAAGGCTTTTCACAGCGAGCTTTTTTTCATAATCCTGCCGTTCTTTATCTAGGTGGCGGGGGGCGTCTTGGAGATATGGAGTTGGAGTTGCGAGAAGTTTTGGGGAGCAAGAGAAGAAATCTGCAGATATGTTTGATACCAGACCGTTGGGGATATTTACGCCTTGAATTAATGTTGATTTATACAGAATCGCTTGATTGTCGTTTACATTGCCACCTCTCCCTTTTGCTCTTTTGTTATCAAGTTGCCATTGAAAGGCAAGCTGGGACAACGATAGGACACCCAATCAGGAAGCTCTCCCCGTCCCGATTAGGATATAGATGATGTAGCCGAGTTGAAGCGATGTGCCAAGATTATGTAGGATGCAAGCGAGCAGAAGGATAACAGATGGTTTAACCGTGGGAATTGAGGGGATTTACAGTATGTGGCCTTTTCTACAGAATACTGTCGTGTACAGTTGGGATTGGTTCTGCTTGAGGAAACTCAGTATCACGGAAAATCGGGATTGTTGACGGGCAGTCGCGATTCAAACAGACCCCGACGATGAGGTTGAGAGTGGGGAGGAGATGGACCCCTGCGGAGAAGATAGTTTCTGGGGTGTTGCCTCTTTCTTCGTTGGAGCGGGGTGAGGAGGATGGTTCTGGAGCTTGCGGATGAGGCTGTCAAAGAGACTGAAGCTGAGGACGAGAAGGAATTCAGAAGAGTGATTATGAGTACAAGAGGTTGGTGATATACATGGCCGCTAAGACGGACCTGCTTCCGTCCTGCCTGTTGTTATTTACTGCGTACAGGAAGGATTGGTATTTATGGTGTATTGATGGCGTAACCGGGCTGGCCCTGGGAGGGGCTGGTTGCGCAAGGTCCGGTCGGTCTGTCGGTCGGTGGTTCACATTAGGTGCGGGGTGTTTCGGGGTCTTGGACGGGGTTTGCTGAATTGGGGATTTTGCTTGGAAGAATACCCAGAAGCAGATGAGATGGAAAGAAAAGTGGCGAGAGGATCGCATGAATTCGGCAGGGAAAAGAAATCAAGAAAGTGTGGTTATCATGTGACGCAGACGATGAAACTGCTCAAACCAATCGACAAGCTTCCAGAGCAGCAATCAACAAGACGCACGTTCGAAAGGATCGAAACAGGAAATGTGTGGAGAAAATCGAGCATGCCTGAGGCCCCTAATTATTACGTCTATTGGCGCCGAGCACCTCCGCTCTCTTTCCCTTCTTGGCCTGGGAGGGGCCATCATTTGGCTGACGCCACCCAGACAATGTTTGGCTCCGGCAGGCCCGGGTCTCTAACGATAGCAGTCCATTATTAACAGTCAGGGTCGTCGCCAGCAGGCCAGTGGCCACTACGCAACACACCTCCAACAACACAACACATTTCACCATCACACAAAGTCGACTGGCTCGCATCCTCCCATCGATACCTAACCAACTAACCGACAAATCACCATCGTTTTTTATCCGCGCTTTCCCTTTTTGCTGTTTCTTCCTCCAACCTGAGAACTCACCACACAACCACCGCGACAAGTGCCTGTCGACTTCCCGCCGCTGGACGATTAGCGATAACCCTCACTAGCTTGACTTACAATCGACACGCGGCCCCTAAACACAACCAACAACACCAACAATACACTGTTCCGTCGGCAATCATGCTCATGAAGTCACTCTCACTTGCAGCGGCTGCCGGCCTTTTGGCCGCCCCGGCTGCTAACGCATTTCTCATCCCTCCCGAGATCAGCGAGTCCGACCTCAAGATCGCCCAGGAAGTCGAGTTCGCCGAGCCCAAAATCGCAGAGGTCCAGCCCATCGATCTTGAATGCCCTGGATGCCCGCTCAACATCAAGGGGCGATTTGGACAAGACATTCAGGTCAAGACTGGACGACCAAACCACCTCGAGCTTCTGTTTGCCATCGAGCACCGCCCTGAAGGTGGCGATCGTTTGTTGGTGAACGACTTTGAATTGTACCCCTTTGCCGACCCATTCTCTAGCAATTTGATGGCGCCGCAGGTGTTGGATGACGGTGCAGAGGTGGAAAAAAGACATGATCCCCATGGTGGAGAAGAAGATGGGCATCGCAGGGGCAAGCACCATCGACGACCGAAACCGCAGGCTCAGCGACTTGGCTTTGGGCTTCATGTCTCCCCGGTTCAGAAGGATACTGATGGCAATTTTGAGCTTATTGAGGTTGAACTGCAGGTTATTGAAGTCGGGTACACGTTTGTCGAGAACATTCCCAAGGTCAGGGTCAATCTTGTGAAGGATCAGGAGGGTAAACTCCTCATGACCACCGTCGAGAAGACCGCCCCCCAGACTATTGTCGAGGTTTCCGATGAGGACAAGCCCGCCGAGTGCACCACTCGGATCTGCCAGCTCATGGCTGCCGCGCACGAGAAGATGGAGCAGCTCCGCAAGATGAGACTTCCTGGTTGCCATGGTGGTAACAAGGAGGGTATGGGCATGAGACCTGCCTTCCACCACGGAGGCGAGCACCATCACGGCGGCCACCACGGCCACAGCGAGCCTCGCCCTGGTCGCATGGGCATGCGCGAGCACAGCTGGGGCAAGCTGTTCAAGAACATCACCTCGCACATCTTGCTTCCGGTCCTCATCGGTCTCGTCGCTGGTGTCGCCGTTAGCTTGATCGGTATGGCGGTTGGTACCGTTATTGTTGGCTTGTGGCGCTTCTTCCGCAAGCCTACCCACACTTCCCGTAGACACTCCAGACGTCACTCTCTCCACAAGGCTTCCCACAAGGAGGCCGTTGTTGCCGAGGAGAAGTCTGGGCTTTTGGCTGAGGAGGAGCAGGATGCCCCTCCTGCTTACCAGGATGCGGAGACCAACACCGCCGCCAAGCCCGCCGGGGAGGTGTAAACTAGTGGTGTATGAGATAAAGGTGCTCGAAGGAGAAGATTGGAAAGTTGCCACAGGGGGGGCGGGAGGCTTTTGGATTGCGGGCGTTTTTAGGGGACCCTGACTGAGCTGGACAAAAACACACAAGGCTGACACTCCTTTTGATTTTCTTCATCATCATTGTCAAAACGAGGGTTGTTTTTTTCCGGATTCCAGTGTTTTTCGTTTTTTTCTTTTAAATTTTCCTATTGTTTGGTCTTTTTTTCTCTTGATCATCAAAAATACCCACATTCCTTTTTAGTTTTACACACCTACTCGGAGATGAAATATGAACAACAATCTGTCAAGATTTGACCTCACTGAGTTTGTCCTTCCCTTGATGTGTGCATGTGTGACGGGGCGGGGAGAAGCAGAGGTTGTCAAGGTTTGAGCTAATGTGCCTTTGTGATGCAACGAAAATGAAAGATGGGTTGCAGGATGGGGGTTTTCCGTGGGAGATCTCCCGAGATCTGCCTTGCAGTATGCAGCTATTTTGGATGGGTGGGTGGTTTTGAGGCCGGTGAGGTGTTGGACTGTGTGGAGACATTTGGAGGGTGTAAGTCAATGTTCAGTCTCTTTAGCCTAGGACTGTTCTGAGAAGAGTCAAAGAAGATTAGCTGTGTCTGGTCTAGAAAGTCAGCTTCCAAGAGATGGTTCCCCTCATGTCCAGCAATCTCTCACCGTATCAATCATACTGTGTAACTCGAATGTGGACACATCCAAGAGGTGGCCGCCAAACAGGTCGCAGTTCGCCTCTTGTTTCTCTGCGCCCGCCCCCGCCCGCCTGCGGCTTTCAAATCCCGGACTCCACACGGGCTATCTTTGCTGTTGTTATCGATAAGCATGTCCCCAATTCGCTCCACCAAATTTCTCCCCACCGCCTTTGGTCGCAACGCTGGCAGAATTCGCTTTTTTCGCAGAATTGCTCTCGACCCTTGCCGCAGCACAACGACTTGGCGACAACCTTTTTTTTATTTATTTTTTTTACTCTCTCTCTCTCTTTTCGTTGCTGGTTGAATTTCTTTGTCAACCACCACCCATCACCGATTCCACCTCCAGTCGCAATCCATATTTTTCTGGATCGCGCTCTCCTTTTCTCACATTGCCTGATTTGAGGAAAACAACAAAGCAACAATGGGCAAGTCAAGCTCCAAGAAGCGCTCCCGCTCCGACGAGGACGACATCGCTGTCGCGGCGCAAGAGCAGGAGGTTATGAAGAAGAGCAAGGTGGACGAGAACGGCAAGAGCGAGGTGACAAAGTCTGAGTCTTCCGACAAGAAATCCAAGAAGGAAAAGAAGGACAAGAAGGAGAGGAAGGACAAGTCTGAGAAGAAGGAGAAGAAGGAGAAGAAGGACACT